GGTCCTCCAAACCATCAAGGCAGGACTCCACCTGGAGTTCCGCTCTCTTCCGCCCAGTAGATTCCGCACCTTTCCCTCCTCCAAGAACCCGGCTAAGTGCGCTCATGCGCGAAGCCATTCGCCACCTCCTGGACATTAGTGCCATAGAGCCGGTCCCGGAGGAGGAGAAGGGTTCAGGATTCCACTCACATCTTTTCCTAGTTCCCAAAGGTTCAGGGGGATGGAGAGCCATCTTAGACCTTCAGCTGAAGTAGCCTGCAGTGCTGCATTTAACCACTGCGCCACCTCGGCTCTTGACCCGGCCTTCATGCCCAAGGTCACTTCCCCCTTCCACAGGGGACAAGAGATCATTCTCCCAGACTTCTGCCCTCACCCTTCCTCCGAGAGGGAGAAGTCCTGGCACCGCCTAGCCATAAGAAGGGCCCTGTGCATTTACCTCAAGCGCACAGCCCCCTTCAGATGGTCGGAGGCACTCTTTGTCTCCTACCACATGTCTGCCAAAGGCGCTAAGGTCTCGCCTACCACCATCAGCAGGTGGATTAGGTTGGCCATCTCCAAGGCCTATGAGGCCCGAGGGCTGCCCATGCCACAGGGCATTACTGCACACTCCACCAGGAGTGCAGCCACCTCAGCGGCCTGGGCCACCCAGGCCTCCATCAAGGACATTGCAGAGCTGCAGCCTGGTCCTCTCCTTCACCATTCATCAAACATGGATGAGGGCTAGATACCTATGCCTCGGCCGAGGCATCCTTCGGGAGGCGGGTTCTTCAGGTGTCCTGGACACTCTGGAAACTCAGGCCCAATAACCCTTCCCATGGACATCTAGCTTGGGTATGTCCCATTCAGTGACTCCTCCCACGCCCCACCTTGGAGACTGTCAGTTGGTCCTACCTGAACTGCATGTCTCAAGGGTGGGCGTGGGAGCAGTCACTTCTCACCCGTCAGGCTCCAGTGCCAGGCCTGAGTGCCATTCACAGAAAATTCACGTTTCAGGAAGAGAAGCTGCCGTTGGTTTTGTTTTCTTCTCTTCCCTTCCAGGTCCTTCTTCCGAACCCTTGGTTAACCTGGGGAGTCACCAGGAGGAACAGGGGGGAGTGACCTCAGATTTCCTCCGTCTCCAGGCAATTGGGCCGTAACAATACCCCCATTCAGTGACTCCTCCCATGCCCACCCTTGAGACATGCAGTTCAGGTAGGACCAACTGACATTCGCAAAACACATCAGTTGGCTGCCTGGGCATTATGTGCCGCTATGGCAGCCTCGTTCTTCAATAGAACGTCTTTAGTCTGGTTAAGACAGCTACAGGAGAGGTTAGCTTCAGAGGATTTGCGACTTCATCAGGATGTCATCAAACTGCTGGCGGCCTTGGAATTCTCCTCTGATGCCACGCTCAATGCGGCTAAGTTCGCATCCTGAGCTGTGGCATATAACATAGCGTCTCATCGCCTCTTATGGCTACCCCTTTGGCAGGCAGACATACGGTCTAAATGGTGCCTTGCTTCCACCCACTTCAAGGGCGGTTCCCTCTTTGGAGCAGCACTAGACCCTATATTGATTGAGATGAGGGACAAGCGAAAGGTGCTCCCTTCGGCCGCCAGGTGCATGGATAGAAGGCAACAGCCTTATCCTCGAAGGCAGCCCTTTCGCGTTGGGGATTCGGGGTACTCTCCCCTTCCCTGTACCCCTCTATCTAATAGATCCTTTTCTCAATCTCAGGACAGGTTTCAAGACAGAGCCAATACTAGAGACAGAGGTAGGCACCAGCACCAACAGCAGACCCTGTTCGTGTCTTTCCAACCAGCCACCATGGGCCAGAAGGCATCCTCTCATACTATCGGCTGCTGGCTGAGGGCGTGTATTGCCCTCGCCTACAATTGTCATTCCCGACCGGTTCCCAGTCGCATCACTCCCCATTCTACCAGGAGTAGAACGATGGACGATGCGTGCTGCAAAGGGTAGCTTCTTCGGCTACGGCACCAGACCAGCCTCCCTCCCTCCCCTGAAGTCTATTGCTTTGGCATGTCCCATGCTTGGATTCCCCAAGCAGCGCACAGGAGAACGACCGTTGACTTACCTGAACGGTCCTTCTATGTGCGCTGAGAGGGGAATCCAAACCCGCCCTTGGCTTCAGCTGTTCTGGGCCTGGACTTCCTTTTTTCCTATGACATTCTGACTTACCTTGACTTCTAGACTTATTTTGCTTCTCTCAAGCCAGCTGATTGTTTGTGCAAAACTGAACCAGTCCAGTCAGAGGAGGTGTGGCCAGCAATTTGCATAACTCAGTCTCTGGGCTAATGGACAAAGTTAACCCATGCTTGGATTCCCCTTGCAGCGCACATAGAAGGACCGTTCAGGTAAGTCAACGGTCGTTCTCCTGTGCGCTGCTTGGGGAATCCAAGCATGGGACATGCCAAAGCAATAGACTTCAGGGGCAGGAGCGAGGCTGGTCTGGTGTCGTAGCCGAAGAAGCTAACCTTTGCAGCATGCGCCGTCCAAAGGATGCCTCAGCCGAGGCATAAATGTGCACCTTGTAGTGACAGATAAAGGGTGATGGCGATGACCAGGTTGCTGCCCTGCAGATGTCCTCCACCGAGGCCTGCGTTGCCCAGGCTGCCATCATGGTCGCACTCCTGGTAGAATGGGGAGTGATGCAACTGGGAACCAGTCGGGACTGACAGTTGTAGGCTAGGGCAATACACGCCTTCAACCAGTGGCTGACTAAGGAAACTAAGGAAGTTCTA